ATCTTTAACTCTCTCTAGTGACAGTTTGAGCACACACCCTGTCCAGTGTAAGAAATACGTGAAATTAGGCACTTTGGAGAGTGGCTTTTTTTTTTTTTAACCCTCCTCTTTTCTGATCACTTGTACCCTGTCCACAGTGTCAACAGGTAAAAGCCATAGTGAGTGATTTCCTTCACTAGTACTAAGAGTTCTGGCAAACAACAGTAGTTGGCAAACCAAACCAAAACAGAACAATCACTCCTGTTTTGCTGCATACTTCTAGTCATGTTGTCCAATAAATGCCACTACTTTACATTTGCACTCTTGTATAAGGCTTTAAAGCTCTTTTAGGTTGGGAACAGTGGCTCACACTTGGTAGCACGTTGGGAGGCTAAGGTGGGAGAATTGCTTGAGAGGCGGATTTTGAGGCCAGCCTGGGCATTATAGTAAGACCTCATCTGTAAAAAAAATTTTTTTTTTAAACTCTCTCACAGATACTAATTTTTTTTTTCTTTTGAAACAGAGTCTCACCATGTCACCCTTGTTAGAGTGCTGTGATGTCATAGCTCACAGCAACCTCACAGCCCAAACACTTGGGCTGGCCTAAGTGATTCTCTTGCCTCAGCCTCCCAAGTAGCTGGGACTACAGGCACCCACCACAATGCCTGGCTATTGGTTTGTTGTGGTTGTCATTGTTGTTTAGCAGGTCTGGGCCGAGTTCAAACCCACCAGCCCCAGTGTACGTGGCTGGCACCCTAGCTGCTGAGGTACAGGTGCTGAGCCGACACTGATATTTTTTCTACAGTTGCACATTTGCCTTATTGCTTCAGTGTGGTTTTGTTCTTATTGTCAGCTCTCTGTGGCCATTTTCATCTTTTTCACAGAGTTTCTTTCCATACAGATTTATTTATAAAGAGAAAATGAACTTACAACCTTTTGGGGGGGGAGAATTTATGAGGAGCTTAGAATTGTAACCAACTGACTGTTTAATTAGAAACTTATTTTTACCATCCTGTAGTTTTCTTTTTTATGTTTTGATAAGTACAGATGTTACCAGGATATTTTCCTGTACCCCTGCTAACTAACTTATTTCTGAAGAGTTAAGTTTGAACACCCCTTGAAGAAAGGGCAAGTACATGAAAACACTTATTGTTATTACCTTTTTAAAAATAGGTTTCAAGTATCTATCTAGTGATACATAAATGGGTGGGTTAGAACCTCACACTAGTTAGTAATGAAGTCTTTTCTGTTATTCTTCCATTTTGGCTGAGTATCAGGTAAACTAAAGCAGCAGGGATCTGAGAAGTAGGGCAAGAGTGATATGTTTGGTAGAGAATGTCCTAGGTGGGTACCTTTCAAATTTTCCTACCCGTATAACCTGAGGGCGGACAAGTGAGCTCAAATTCCAGAGGATTGGGGGTATCCACCATAAGCACTGTCTTTTCAAAGTCACATATTTAATCTTAAAAACTCACTCGTATTTTATAGTATACTCATGTTTGTTCTTTAGGTATTAAGAAATCATAAATTACTCGGTTGAAATTTTGACCCTTTAGGAAGTGCACCACATTTATCCCAAGGATCCACGTCTCTTCTGCACACCTCAGTTTTCCAGGGCTTGGGTTCTCCAGGTGAAGAAGTGTGGCTCTCATCCTTTTCCTTTATTATAGGTATAATCCAGTTACCAAGAATGTGACAGTGAAGAGCGACGGTGCTACTCAGGTCAACTTCACACTTGTCCGATCCTCAACAGATTCAAACAATGAATCAAAGAAAGGAAAGGGGGACAGCGTCAGCCCTGAGGAGAACAGTGATCCAACTACCAAGGAGTTTGAAGATTTGATTAAAGACCTTTCAGCTGAGAATGGTTTGGAAGGCCTCATGTTACCCTCCTCCTCAAATCTCGCTCTTTATCGATACCATTCATACAAAGATTTATCAGAGTTTCTGAGAGGACTTGTAATGAACTACCCACACATTACAAATCTTACCAGGTAAGTGTCACCTTCTTGCTGTCTGTCTGTCTTGTCTTTTCTTTTTATGTTAAGAGGGTACATTCAGCATTAGCCACTTTGAATAGACCCTGTAATTTATTTAGAAATATTTGGGAAATTAATATATGAAGAGTTGGAGTTTATTTTGTAACAGATATTTGCTTGGAGAACTTCCTGACAGTGAATTTGGAGAACTTTTATGAGAAACAATGGAGGAGAATTGCTTGTTAGATTACAAATGTATAGCCTGTGTCTTTCAGAAATGCAAAATTGCTTTCCTGATAGTTACGTTGACTGATTTCAAAACTCTTTTCATTTTTTAGCTGCAGATCTGTGGTCTAGGTAAATATTGCTTATTTGATTTTATTTTGCTGGAGGTAAACGAAGAATTTGGAATTATCAGTGCACCTGTTAGGAATCATGCATGACCTTTTTTCAAATGAGAAAATGAAGCCCAGTTGCTGTCGTTTCCTGAACTCTAGTCTCCATTCACGGATTCTGTTACCTGAGGCTTTAGGAACATGGGGGCAAATAGGCAGTCCTGGCTCATGTAAAGCTGATGGCTGAGACAACCTTTACTTTCACTTTCTGGGGCTTCTCTTCACTATTTCATTGTTGGGCCGCTTTATGTCTTGTTAGTTATTCCAAAATTATTTCTAGGAGTGTTTGATTCCTATGCTTTGCCTGTTGTAAGTAAAGTCTTCACACTTTGCCCTGAGTTCTCTACTGCATATCTCATGAACATTAGCTGGCCTTTTACCTGTTTACTTTCTTCTTTGGTTCTTTTAATGCTACCACAAAATTTAACCTCTTAAATTCTGATACATAATATTCATAGATGCAAAGAGTGATATTTACTTTGGCAATACCAATTACCTGTCTTCCTCAACTGATTATTTTTTCTGCCTACTTCAGGTTTTAATATCATATGTCTCAGTGCTGTAGAAAGTTTATAGACCCTCAAGTGGACCTCATTTTACTATTTACTTCATTTTATTTTTTTTTAGAATTCTAATTCAAGATCTACTGTTTAGTTAAGTACTGCCTCAAAATATGACATACTTGCCTATGGTATAGGGCACAAGATAGTTTTAGGTGATATACCAGCAGGCACTAAGTGTCATTGAATGGCATGATGAGAAAGCAATAATTTTCCTATTAATCTTTCTCAGTTTAATGCTAATGTTTTTCTATCTAATTCTTATAAACCTCCCTTATGTTAAAGAAAGGTCATAAATATACACTTACTGTATATTCAAGTATTTCTGCAATAAAAATTTGAGTTAATTTAAAAGCTCTATTAACTAAATAGTAGTGTAGGTGACAGAAGATGGGGCAAATATTGTGAAAATGGTACGAGAATGACTGAATTTGGAAGAATGCTAAACAAAATCATAATCTTTCCTCAATCCAATAGTGTCTTCTATTTGACTTTGGTCAAGAAAAACTAATTTTCTTAAGATACATTGTTTCAATGATTAATCTTTAAAGAGTTTCTAAAGCTTTTCTTATTTCATTTTCATTTCTATTTTTAAAGTTCATACATCAGCATTAACACAATGCTTGATTACTTGCTGACTTTTTGTTTTTTTGTTTTTTGAAAGTTTGGGACAGAGTGCTGAATATCGTCACATTTGGTCCCTCGAAATCTCCAATAAGCCCAACATATCTGAGCCTGAAGAACCAAAGATTCGTTTTGTTGCTGGTATCCATGGAAACGCTCCAGTTGGAACAGAACTGCTTTTGGCTCTGGCAGAATTTCTCTGCCTGAACTACAAAAAGAACCCAGCTGTTACCCAAGTAGGAAAATAGCCTGTATTGACATGCTTTAAAAGGAAAAAGCTCAGTGATACATTGATATCAGGACACCATTTTGAAAGTTCTTAAATTCTTGTTAGATTTTACACAGAGGCCCTTTTAGTACATTGTAAAATTTGCTTTTTAAAAATGAACCACCATTATAACATATCCTCATTATTAACAGTTTCTTTCCATTATATTCCTTTGTATATATTAAGAGGCACAGAGGGAAAAAATCCTAAAAATTTACATTCAATCCTCTGCTCCTTTATTTAGTAGTGAAGCTACTCTTCAAATCTTGCTTGCAGTTCTGTATTTACTAACTTGAGGGACATTCATCCTTGGTTATTTTAACTGAGACCCTATATTGAACAATCCAGTGGAAGAGGCATTGTGGCATTGTCTACTTTAGCCATCCGTGACTACAGAAGAGAACTTTGATCCAGAGGCTTGGTCATGTATGATTAAA